TGAGGCCGTCCGTCGGAGTGCGTAGTTCGCTCAGAAGGGCGGGAAAACCGCTCCGAATGAATGAACGGTCAGGCGGTAGTACACTTTGGGCTCCGTATGTCGCCTTCAGGCCACCATAATAGTCGCAAGGTGTCGCGTCTAGTACCTTAACTTGGAGGAACACTTCCTGTATGTCGGCTGCCGCTTCAACTGCCCCCAGCCGGACTCCGTTGAGTACGTCGATCAAATCAGTGGTCCAATTTGGTCCTTGCAACAGACAGTCATTAAGAGAGAGACCGCCGTATCGCGACGTACAATGAAATATCACGCGTATCTTTCCTGGCTTTCTAGGGTTGGTTACCGGGTGGTGTGGCAAGTACCATAGTCGTTCGATGCGTGGTTGTGACACGTCCACTCGTTCTATATATCCCACCTGCTCGTTCCTTTGCATCGCTGCGGCGTACAGTCGACATAGCCCTGCGGCCCGGACCAGTCGCCTTTTAAGTTACTCCAATCTGTTTAGGGCCGTCCTATGATTCTTTGGCAATCGAACGTATCCCGTCCTCCATGATAAAGGCACCTCGAAAATGTCGGGCTGACAGCGTGCCCCCGTTTCGACCATAGGTAATACCTGGTGTCATCTTTCTGGTCGCTCAAGTCGTTGAGCTCATTGTCGTACATCCGTTGTAGGGGTTGTTCGATCATATCGTCGCCAGAGGTAGGTAGGTGGTGGTGCAGTTAATTGACAATAGTGTGCGGTTGGCCGAACGAGGCGGTTCAAATAATGTCCACCCGAAAAGTTTGCCAGCGGAGTAAGGTTCTTTCCTGCTGCCCAGTCTCTGGTCCAACACCCAGTGTGCTTCTGGCATGTCACATCATATCAGCAAATCGACTTCGGGGGAGTTGGCTTCTTGAAAATGTAAATCTCTCAGACGTGGCTAGCGCGTTGCTAGTTCCCCGATCAATTCCACTGTTCGCATCGACAAGTCGGCGGTGGTGAAAGCCTCCGTCACCTCTACACGCTCCCCATTATCTAGCGACACCAATGTCACGCTTGTTTGATCGGCAGAAATATCCTTGGTACCGTTCACCGTGCTGATCGTCAGGGAAGATGGTTTGGTTGCGATATGGTTCTTTACGGCGAAACGCTTAGTGATTAGAGTGGTATCG